AATATGCTTCGACTATTATTAATGCCAAATAGGGAAACGATCCGATCAATTTAATAATGTTATAGATTTGAAGAATTAAGTTGATTAAACGATAATGATTTTGTTTTCAAAAGTTAATGCTGGTATATTTTTCCTAATTTATTGGAACGTTTTTCCTCTTAAAAAAAATAAATATGTCAATTAGGCTCGCTTTGGCAATCCATTTTAACTTTTTAATTTTTAAAATTTTAATTATATTTTGAAAGTACTTTTAAAAAGGTAGATAACAAAGTTGACACATAAATGACAGTGATATTTATAAATTTAATTTTAAAAAGTAAAAAATAAAAATGAATTAATGTTTATTTAATAACTATTTTATAACTGTTTTTTAAAATTTAAGCTACAGCTATATCTTTCTTTGTTTTAGTTATCTAATTCTTAAAAACATTTTTTCTTTTTTTTTNTTTTTTTAGTACAGACGAAACAAAGATATTTTGGATTGGAATTACAATTTTAGTGCATATCAAAGTGAAAATATGTTTCATTGGTTCTTTGAGTAAGCTTATTTAAAGATTAACCAAGAACTATAATACCTATCAATATAGAATTAAACTTGGAGTAAGAAACTAACATTGTTTTGGAACTATATTCTTAAAATAAAAATTTAGTGAATGTATATCTTTTGATCTATATATATATATTGTGATAATTTTACTTTTCAAATTTGGATACCTTTTTCAGATGGAGAAAATCCTTCAAACCACTAAAAATTTAATTCAAAGCTGACTCAAAACTATTTTATATCAACACATTCACTATGCCACAACTCACAAGTAGTAATTAAGAGAAATGACACAATGAATCAAGATATTTCATGTCGTTTTTTACTGCCAAATTCTAAAGTCTTTTTGTCACCAAATCAATATAATTTGACTGTCAAATCTAGATAGTTTTTTAAAAAATAAATAAATTATTTTTAATATATTCTCACAAATGATTTTTTTTTGAATGATTGAAGTTGTTGTTTTATTTAACGTTACAAATTTGTAATGTAGTTGAACTAGTTAAGACATATCGAGTCTTCACCACTATATACTATTATTGTGAATGATTGTGGAAAAAAAATATTTTTTTTTCAAACTAAGCTCATAACTTTCTTTTTCTTTTTTCCTTTTTTTATAATCTAAGTGCTTAGGTCAACTAAACTGCACCTCTAAATCTTCAACTAATAATATTTTCAATCAAAAAGGAAAAGGAAAAAAAATCTTCCAGTAATCTATTAAGAAAGTCTTACAACGTAAATATGAAAGAAATAAATATTGTTTGCAGAAAATAAGAAGGGAACTCATAAGACAAATAAGTTTGAGATTATTTTAAGATAGTTAAAAGTATTATCTTGACTAACTATAAAAAGAACTCTCGACAAAAGTGTTATATCTAAAAACACTGTTCTTAAAAAGTAATTCTAAACTTTATTTATTAATATCTTAGGCGGGTACCACTAGGTCAACTTGTAACGTTGGTTGAAAGCAATCTATAAAGTTCAAATATATAAGATTGTGAGAAGAAGCAAGGAAAATGATAGAACCAAAAGAAAAAATAGATATCTATATGAGGGAAAGAAAATAAAAGTGAAAAAAGGGATATGCAAAGTGGACAATTGGAGATGCATTATGGTCTTGCCATATGGTGGACTAAAATCTAATAATTGAAGAGAGATGGAAGTTAAAATGAAATGGGCAATTGTGTAGTCCAAGAGATTATCAAGTGCTTTTCAACCTTTTTTCTCCAATTGGTTTCATTTTGTGATATTGTTGTGGGAAATTTGGCCAAATATCTGCCTTTTTTTTTCATACTCATCAACAGCTCTTACCATTCAAAAATGGCTTGCTTATATATATATATACATCCATTGATTTCATGACAATGGAGAGAACTACATATTGGAATAATTCAAAAAGATAAATTCCAATTTGACATGTGGTAATGAAATATTACACAAGTGTGAAAAAGTAGACTAAAATAAGATTTTGAATTTTCCATTTAGTTAGATGAAAGATCAAGTGTTGATGCAAAAATCTGCTTAAGACACGGAGAGTGACCTGTGAGGTTGGAGTGAGCAACTTAGGGCGAATTCCTTCAGAGGGTACCTATAAAAACAGGTAGGCCACTCCGATACCCAAGTCAGTTTGGAGTCCAAGTATAGACAGATCAGCTTCAAACAGATTCTCTTACCTAAGTTAGCTGGGTGGTGGTGTATTTATAGCTACAGGAGAGGGTAGCTATCTATCCCGTCGGGGTATTTCGCTATTCTGAAGAGCGACGCCCTAAGGACCAGTGGTCCACACAAATGCCCCTAAATCCTTCCTTGTGCCAAGGTAGGACATTTTGGGTGCTCCCACTAACGTGTAAGTGCTAGATACCGACCTGTCAAGTCGGCGTATAGCCTTCTCTCAATAGGTCAGCCTTGAGGCGTCACCCTCCAACATCAAGTAAAAACTATAATCAAAGATATGTGATTTATATGAATAGAAATTGTAAATTTTTTACTATAGAAAGGATAAAATGTATATTTAAGGATATTTATCTGAGCATATTATAAATGAAATTTAAAAAAAAAAAATCTCTAAAGCAAATTCAAAGCAAGCCCTAAATTATTTAATATTTGACTGTAAAATTTGTAGTATATGATTGTAAATGTGGAGTTACTTATAAATGTGTGTGAAAAATGTTGGAGATGAGATGAGAAGAGAAAAGGAAAAACAAAGACAGATGCAAGCAAAAGGAACTATGGCTGTCGGTCAATTCCGAGGTTCATTTTCTCAGACTATTGGGAGACCTGGGAGTTGACTTTTATTGACCATTGAACATATGGCGCAATCTCATTGGTCTGTCATTTTCTTTTCTGTAACATCGCTTTCACGTTTTCAACGTCGCCCACTCACCACAATCTCATTAGATTTACCCACTCATTCTAGAAAGAAAAGAAAATTAACTTTTGGAAATCAAAACTTTTTTCGGTGTATACTAAATTGCACGAATGTAATCAATTTATGTGATTTACTTTAAATTTTGTAATTAAGAAATACATTTTCGCTTTTGATTTTACTCAAAATGATTTGTGTCAATGGAGATAATTGTTCTTAATTATAAATCCATGATCTTCTCATTATTTAGACAARGTGAGAAACACAATTTTTTAGCACAGCTCAACTAATTAAGACGTCTAGTTCTAATTGTGAGTTCAAATCCTCACTCCCACCCATTGTACTAATTTTAGTATTTTTATGGTTAGATTTAGACAAAGTATGTCATTTCTTTTTTAAGCAAAGATTGTCATTGAATTTATACCATTTAATTCATTGAAACCTTATATTATTTATTAGTTGGTTTGAATATTTTAAATCACTCTTACAATAACTAGTTTGGTTTAATTTTTTTTTTAAGAAACACTTTAAAGTTTGATTATCGAAATTTTTTCGAGAATCACTTTGAAATAATTTTACGGTAGTTTGATATTTGTATAATCAGTTTTAGATGTAGTGTTGAAAAGTGACGAAACAAACCGATATTTTCAATTAAAAACTAATTGGACTAAGTTAACCCACGAGTCTTGTTTTTTTTTTCACTCACCAAACTTTGAAAAATCTTCACATTTAGGTAACAAAAACTGACACATTTCCTATGTTGTAGACAAGGGAATGTGATGGGCATCAATTGCACATTCCAAATAGAGTAAATTTTAATTGCTCAAGCAAGTTGTTTGTCATATTTTTTCTTTTTAAAACAAATGCATTAATTTTGGAAGAGATTCGGTTATAAATTATAATAATTTATTTTCTAGTGGCAATTTGTACAAATTTACAAAAATGTGTAAAGGAAAAAAAATATATTGAATTAAAATCAAATTGACATTGAATGTACAAGCATATTAACATTTTGTCATTTCATTGACATTAGATTTAGTAGTCAATCAAGGATTCATAAAAAGTCTATTTGATTGATTGATATGGTATACTTAACTAATATCATGCTTTTAAAGTTAAAATTAATTGTACGATTTATTGAACTAAATATAAAGCTTTAAAGAAATTTCTGTTTTTTTAGTTGGATTCGGGTTTGGTTAGACTCGAAGAAACGTTGATTAAAATAATCATTGAATGATATATTAAACTAAAAACGCTAGAACTGAGTACATTTCATTTATTTAATATTTTTAGTGTGTGATCATTGAGATTTGAGATAAGAATGTAGTTTCTAGTCTATATATTTCTATTTCTGTATAGGAAAATCATATGCATGTCTTAAATTCCACAATATATGGATCAGGTCTATTTCAAGCCCAATATGTTTGAATATGGATCAGTTTTCAATAAAACAAGCCTCAAACTTCACTCTTTGATACAACATAATTTTAATATGATCTCTTCGCATCTTCCAATAAAAATATAAGCATGAAAGATAAATATATCTTTGTGGGTTTAACTTATGAACATTAGTGTTGTTGACACCTGATTTCACGAGAAATTATACTCCGTACGCGGTGAAGATATAATTTATATTGAAATTTGAGTTCGTACCTTATTCTTTCTCTTAAATTTGATTCGAAGATTGGGAAGTTTATTCTCGTATTTAGATTGAAGTCTTCTTCACTGTAAAATCGAAGTTTTCTAATCTTCATAAATGATCTATCCTTTTTTCTAATTACTTGATGAAAGTTTTTTTTTAATTCTAATTTCTAAATTTTGAAATCATTTTATAATAGACATGTCTCTCATTATCAAGTTGTATTTATTAAGTCCGCCAATTTTTATGTCATTTAATTTAATTTGGGGAGATATGTCAATTTGTAAGTGTGACAATTTATGATTAGTCATTACTAAACCTATCGGTAGAATCTAAAACTTTCATTTCCATGTGGGTCGAACTTAGTAAGACAATTATTTGACTAACAAAAATGTTAGAATAAGAAGAGTTTCACCCAGATACAAAATGATATAACATGAACTCAAAAGGGCTATAAATAACAAATCAATATCTCTCAATCTTATAAACAAAATGGACAACCAATTAAACTAAACTTACAAAAACATTACAATGATAGTTACAGTCCAATGGGAATGGCACTGAGAATTAAAACGAAACACCCACACACTCAATAAGGAAATAGTTATGAAAAGAAAGGTCAGGAATTGGCTAGTTTATTTTCAGCATCTTCTTGGTTTAAAAAAAAAAAATCAGTTGCTTTGATGCAGTTTGTTAGTACCTGATTCCATGAACCTGCAACAAAACCAAACAACAATCAATCCTCCCTTCAAAATGGGCTTCAATCCATTGTTTTGAACTTAATGTTTAAATTATCTTGTTTAGTGATTTAAACTTTTGTTAATGGTGGTTTCTTCATCCATGGTATAGAGCTCGTCTAGTTGAGCTATCATTTATTCATCTTTAATAGATACTTACTTCGTGTCCTGCGACCGATCGGCAATAGTTGGAATTGGTGAGGACGGAGCAGGTGGATCCGCACTCGGAAACTGTGGACCTGTCGAGCTTGATCGGCCATGGAGGATACGCGTAGCTCTGCGCGGCGGCGGAGCTCAAATGCGAAGACGACCGCTGCATTCTCACCGCCCTCGGAATGTTCCGCCCTTCCACCGACGCCCGCCGCCGGCTCGGCTGCCGCTCCAACGATTCCGGCCGCGCCTTGGGGGCACTCTGCGACCGCGCTTTGGCTTTCGACGACTCTGTATTCGCCATATAATTGGGGAAAAGTGGGTAACCATAAGGCAAAGATTCCGCATATTCCGATCTGGGAAATTCGAACGGTGGCCGATTCGGGTCCGGTTTCTCCACGGTGGAGAAGCACCGGATTTGGGGGCTGTTCTGAAAGCCGTAATCTTCGAAATGGCCGCTGTAAGTCCTGGGGCTCATGTCCGTCAGCGCCGACGGCGCCGGCGAGAGATGGTAGCTTTCTTGATTCGAGTACCCGTAATGGCTGTAGCTATTGCGATTCTTCAGGCCACCCAAATCCATCTCCACGATCTTTATGTTCTCTTCCATTTCTCTGTCGATTTCCTGCAGAAAAGGAAGAACAGAGTCGTTTCGTCTCGTCAAAATTTGTGAAGAAGATTCTGTTTTGATTTGAACCCAAATTTTTTATTTGGGAAAATTACTTGATGGGATTGACGGAGGCGATTTTCTTGGAAGGATTTTCGGTGGGCGGAGTGCCAGTGATTGGCGGTGGGCTTAGAATCTTCGGCCATTTTGATCCTCTGGGTTCGGGCTCTGGCCTGAGCCGTCACTAGAGCTTGCATACACCGGAGAGTTTCGGTGGCTCGTTTTCTGACCAGGTGGCCCCTCACCATCGCTTGTAATTTCACCAACCCTTTTAGTGCGCAAAGAGCCTTTCTCGCCTGCCAATTCCCAATCACCAATTAATCGTTTCATTCGTTCAAAGAACTGAATCTAAAAACTTGAATTCGGTAAATTTAGTTCTAACAAGTTTCATAGTTTTAGATCCACTATTTCAATCATGATTTTCATACTTCAAAGAAAAAAGTTCTTCCTTTTTAGTCGGGTGTGAGCGAGGAAGGATTGGAACCCCAACACTGTGGTTCGTAGCCACGTATTCTAATCCTCAATCCTCTAAACTATAAGTCCCGTTTGTCTCTGGTATATTCTAAGGTGTGAAGTGAGAGAGAAAAGTAAATAGGAGAGAAGGAGTTCCATAATTGGGATTTTGAATATCTAGCACTCCGTTCACTGATAGGCTCGAAGGAAACAACAGAGATTTGATCCCATAAATAAATCATCACTCAATAAATCATATATTAATTATATAATCCAAAATTTGAGGTTAATTTGAGTTTTGGGTGTGTACCAGATAAGATCGGAAAACGGATTGGATTACAATTGCAGCGGCTTCTTCAATTGCGGTGGATTCGTTCGCCGAGGCGGTCAGACGAATGGCGGCGGCGGCGGCTTGGGCAGCTGCG